AGTATTCTATGATGAAGGTTTTCGGTTGCTAATGTTTCCCTCACTTAAGAATGTTTCAAAAACATAAGCTGACTTTCAGATCTCAAGTTTGCACGTATTTGGGAGTTATCCCTCAACACAAAGGGTTCCAATGCTTGGCACCCGATGTACTAGTGTATATTTCTCGCCATTTTATATTTAACAAGTCTGTTTTTCCATTTGTAGGAAAAGAATATAGTACCTCGGTGAAATTAGCAGATAAAGCTAGCCCAATCTCTCGGTCACTTCCGATCGTTGCCCCAGCTAGTACTGTTTGTCATCACTTTCCAAACACAATCAGTGCACGTGAAGAAGTTAAAGTTGGTAATACAGATATTCCTCGTGAAGTTGAACTGATCAATAACGAGGCTGATGATGCAGAAGTCCCGCATGAAGCTGAGGTCGTCACTAATGAGGATAAGTATAATCCAGATGATATCCTTCAGTAGTCCTCTAATGCTGTTAATTCTAAAGAAATTGGTTCTGATGGAACTCTCGATGAGGGTGCTAAAGTTAATGACTTACCAGCTGACAACACGCAAAATAGTGTTTCTGAGTCAGACACCAGTACATCACTCGATTCTGAGGCGGTTAACAACTTACAACCTACTCGTGTTCATCACATGATGACACGCAGCCGATGCGGGATCTTCAAGCCTAAAGTATTCTCAACAACACTGGGTGATGATACCCCTATGACAATCAGTGCTGCCCTTCAGTCTCCACAAGGGGCTGCAGCAGTTCATGATGAGTACAACGCATTGCTTAATAATAACACTTGGTCGTTAGTCAGACTTCCTAAAGACAGAGTTGTTGTTGGATGTAAATGGCTCTTTAGAGTTAAACACAATTTTGATGGCTCGGTAAACAGGTATAAAGCGAGGCTTGTTGCCAAAGGTTTTTCACAAGTGTCGGGCTATGACTTCAAGGACACTTTCAGTCCTGTGGTTCGATTTGCAACGTTCAATGTTATACTATCCTTAGCAGTGTCGAATGGTTGGGAGCTTTGGCATGTTGACATCAACAATGCCTTTCTCAATGGAGACTTAAACGAGGAGGTGTATATGCAACAACCTCCTGGATTTGAGCAAACCAATGAGCTTGGTGAACATTTGGTGTGTAAGCTCAAGAAGGAGTTATATGGCCTTCAACAAGCCCCTCGCAACTGGCATGTCAAGCTTAAAGAAACTCTGGTGCAAATGGGATTCAAAGTTTCTTGTGCAGACTCGTCCTTATTTACCAAGTATAATGAAGATAGTGGCTACATCTACGTCCTGGTATACGTAGATGACATAATTATCACCGGTCCAGCACCTACTGCTATACAACAGTTTGTTTCTACACTACAGACTCAATTTTCCTTAAAGGATGTCGGGGAATTGAGCTTCTTCTTGGGCATTGAGGTCAAACATATAAACAATGTTGTTGTGTTGAGTCAGAAAAAATACATTCTAGAGCTGTTGGAGAAAACTGGGATGTTAAATGCATCAAATTGTGCAACACCGATGGTGATATCTCCCAAACTCTCTCATGAAGAAAGTCAACTTATTCAAAATGCCAGTGAGTACAAAAGTGTAGTTGGTTCACTCTTGTATGTATGTCATACAAGGCCTGACATCACATTTAGTGTTGGTCAAGTTGCTCAACACATGCATGCACCACGTGAAATGCACTTTGTTACAGTGAAAAGAATACTGCGTTATTTAGCCTCTACGTTAAATTTTGGTCTTCTATTTACTCCAGTTCAGTGTGGATCGGACATAATTACATTTGCTGATGCTGATTGGGGGGCCAACATAGATGATAGGAGATCCATCACTGGTTATGGAGCATTCTTTGGCAAGAGCCTTGTTACTTGGTGTTCAAAAAAATAAAGAAAAGTCTCTCGATCCACAATGGAGGCTGAGTACAAGAGTGTAGCTGATACGGCTGTAGACATAACGTGGATTCAAGCTCTTCTAGCAGACCTTGGTATTCAGCAGGACCATACGCCTGTGGTCTGGTGCGACAACACCAGTGTCGTTGCCATGAGTACAAATCTAGCATATCATGCTCAATCTAAGCACGTTGATCTCGATGTTCATTTCGTTTGCAAGAAAGTAGCTGATGGTCAGTTATGTTCCAGCCATGCATTAAATCGCTGATGGATTCACTAAACCATTGGCAATGACTGCTTTTGAAGAGTTTCGCTCAAGGATATGTGTTCATCAACTCTGAAGAGTGGAAGAAGCAGGGAGAATATTAGCAATGTATGCAAGCAACACATGATTGCCATGCCACGTTGGCTCAGGATTGTTAATTGATTGTTAATAAGCTGTTAGTTTGTTACGAGTCTGTTAATTGAGTCTGTTAATTGAGAGCATTTATGTTGCTGATGCTGTGTATAAATCAACTACATTACAGTGTAATCAAAGCAAGTGTTTAATCAGTAATTATTTTCTTCCCTTTATCATTCTCCCAACAATTTCGATCAGCCAAACTTAGCTGATGGTTCAATCACAAAATGTGGGCCAAGGGAACCTTGGCACGATATTCACTCCCGACTTGAAGGGCCAATTGCTTGGGATGTCTTGTTTAATTTTGAGCAAAGATGGAAACGACAAGGGGGTAAAGATCTGCTTGTTCAGCTGAGGGATCTTAAAGATGTCATCATTCCCCCATCTCCAGTTACATTTCCTGATGACCATGAAACTTGGAACGTGCAGTTGTTTAGATCAATTGATGGCGGGGCAGCTTTTGGTTTCCTCGATTCACCTGAAGATGCAACCAAGGTTGGCCTTGTGAGTGGCAAGAACAATATCATTCACCGAAGTATTCAGGATGCCTACATTCATGCTATCCGACGAGCAAAGAATTACATCTATATTCAAAATCAGTATTTCCTCGGAAGATCCTTTAACTGGAGTCCTGATGACATCAAGCCTGATGATATTAATGCTTTGCATCTGATTCCGAAAGAACTTTCACTTAAAATTGTTAGCAAGATCAATGCTGGAGAGAGGTTTACAGTTTATGTTGTTGTCCCCATGTGGCCAGAAGGAATCCCAGAGAGTGCCTCAGTTCAGGCAATATTATATTGACAGAGAAGGAGCATGGACATGATGTATAAAGATATCGTTGAAGCTCTCAGAGCCAACGGTCGTGTGGAGAATCCAAGAAACTATTTAACATTTTTTTGCCTTGGGAACAGAGAGGTTAAGAAGAGTTGAGAATATGAACCTTCTGAAAGACTAGAGGCTGATACAGATTATGCCAGAGCCCAAGAAGCCCGTTGCTTCATGATCTATGTTCATGCAAAAATGATTATTGGTAAGTGATGAGATTCTCTTTATTTCTTTGTTATGTTCCCCCCCTTTAGTACCTACATCTCATTTAACTTTGTTTTGCACTCTGCAGTCGATGATGAATACATAATAATTGGATCAGCCAACATCAACCAGCGATCTATGGATGGTGCCAGAGACACTGAGATAGCTATGGGGGCCTATCAACCATATCATTTATCCGTTAGGCAACCAGCACGAGGAAAGATCCATGGTTTCCGTTTGTCCCTGTGGTATGAGCAACTTGGCATGCTTGATGATACATTCCTCGCACCAGAAAGTGAAGAATGTGTCGATAAGGTGAACCAGATTGCTGACATATATTGGGATCTATATGCAAGTGAGTCACTTGAGCGAGACTTGCTCAGACACCTCCTTCGCTACCCCATTGGTATTTCTAGTGATGGAACCGTCACTGAATTGCCAAGAACCGAGTGTTTCCGTGACACAAAGGCCCGTGTTCTTGGTGCTAAATCCGATTATCTCCCGCCTATCCTCACTACTTAGGGGATCTTTGCCTTGGTTCTCAAGTTATTATAATATCTTTCCCTGTCCGGTTCAGTATTGCTCTTAAATCTCTCGTGTTGTAGCCTGCAGAGTTCCAGTGTCGTGTTGCTTTTGGTTTTTCCTACATGTTGCTCATGTCGGAACCTAAACAACTGTGATACTGTGGAGTGATTTTAGTGCTGGTTGGTATAATAAAACTAGTATTGTGTTATTCAATTGTTGTATGTTTTATCAACATGGAAGGACGTAGGATTTTAAGTTAGATGTGAACTTGAACTTATAAAATCTTATGGGAACGAAAATAGATTTTCAATAGAAAATACATAAAAATATCTAAAATATATTATAATTTTATATTTTTAAAGGGCATTGCCTCACCGCTCCCTCTAAATCTATCCATGTTTATTAGGTTATTAATCCATCCTTGTTTATGAGGTTATTGTTGAAGAAAGTTGAAAAAATATTTAATATTTTTATAATTAACATTCTGAATTGATTTATATCTTATATAAAGATGCTCAAGAAAACTGAAAATAAATATGTGCGAACATGATCTTGAAAAACGATCATGTATCCAATGATTCGTTATTTTGATGTTATCATATTTAGATTTTAAAATAGTTTGTAATAATTAATATTGGATGCATGATAGTAATTTTTTTCAAGATCACGCGTAACATTTTGAGCTATTTTCAATCAAAGTTGATGTAGAAGTATGAGTTATTTAATTAATAATATAATTTTATATTTATTTTAAATTTTGATTGATTTTAATGTACTATAAGGATCATAAATTCATAATTTTCGTTGTATAACTAAAAAATTATTGTTAATGAAATGGTCAAACTAATGTGAACAAAAAATATTTTCTAACTAACAAAATAATTATATATATTATTAATAAAAGTTTTCAAACCAATGTGAACAATTTCTTTTCCCATGTCCTAACCAGACAACAAGATTACATTAGAATGCTTGATTTTTTAAAACCCTAACCAATTTAATTCACACATTCCCAATTGATTAATTTATTCTGTCAAAAGAAGATTAAAAAGGAGGACTAATCCGACACTTTTCTTCATTCTAGAAGTCCAACGACGACTTTATTGACCCAAAGAGTTCCCTTCCCTTTGCTTGTCCATGTGTTACTCTTCTTTTATCTCTTTCTTCAACACCTTATAAAAAGCTGAAATCATACCGAACACCACCTCCAGATTCTCACGCGTATACCTTCTTTTTATCTCTTCCTTTAAGGCCAACAGCGGCTGAGTTCGGCGCCGGCTACCATGTCGTCGGGGATATGTTCACAGGGTTTGGTCTTGGCCACCGCCATGGTTGTTTCCAGCACCGTTATTTTCCTCACCTTTTCAAGGCAAAAACCTTCGTCTTCTTCTAAACAAACCCTTCGTTCTTGCTTGTCTTCAGGTACCGCTTCTTGGGTTTTTTGCCTTTTCCGTTTTCGTTCTTTATGCTGTGATTGATAATTTATGGTTTTTTTTGTAGGTGGAAAGAAAAGGGATAAGAAGAAGAGCAAGAAGAAGGTGAAGTTTGCTGAGAATGTGAAGGAAACAAGTGGAAATGGAGATGAGTACAGGAAAGAGCAGCACGAGAAGATGATTGCAGGATCAAAAATCGACGGAATTTGCAGAAATCAAATGCCGGCGAATAGGGTTGCTTTGTACAACGGAATTCTCAGAGATCGTGTTCATGTTCATCGAATGGGGTGTTCGTATTGATTACTGTGAACTTTGTTTTTTTTCTGGGTTTGCAGAAACTTTTTCGACTTTTCTCTTCTCCCTTTGATCTCTTTTGTGTAGGATGTAAACAGTTAGAAGTCTGTCCAAATTTATGAGTTTTTTTTTGGATGAAAATTTGGGCCAAATTTGTAAATTTGTGTCTTTTTTGTTTTGAATTTGAAAAATGTTGCAAGGAATTCCATGTTCATTTTTCAATTCAAAATCTGCACTTTTGAAGAAATTATTTTATGATCTCGGTTCATCACGTTATCTATAATTTTAGTGAATGAGAATTAAAAATTTTAAAATAATTTTTATATAACTATATACTCTTTATTTACATATAAAAAAGAGACGGAGATTATCTTAAAAAATATATTAAAAAATATTATTGATTAAGATTGTGAATAATATGGTGAGGGACCATTTAATAATTTTTCGTCCTTTTGGGGCCAGAATCGAATTACCCACCCCTATGTTAGATGCATAGAAGAAATGTCAATAACTATCGGTTTAACAAAGCATTTAAAAAACGTAACTAATAGGTGTTAGTTTTAAAAAATAATAGGGAAAATTCCGTATTTAGTTATCTAACAATTTGCATGGTTCTGTTCTAGTCATTAATTATTTTTTCGAAATCATATTCAATGTTCTATTTTAGTTTTATTTATCATTCATCATTAAAAAAATAATTGTACACTCACATATAACATGATTTTAAAAAAAATAAGAAATTTATTATGTCAATAACTCTGTTTATTTTTTTATTTTAATGACGGATGATTAAATGGAATCAAAATAAAAATTAAATATGATTTTGAAAAAAAATAGTTAAGTGATTAAAAGGAAATCCTATGAATGTAGGATTGACTAAATATGTAATTGACAATAATAACTAACCATGAATCCAAATTTTACAATCATAAAAATTACCGTCAATAATTACCGTGTAACGCAGTTTTAATAATTAAGTGATATTATATATCATATAAGAAAATATCGATCAACTAAAACGATTACCAATTTTTAAAATTATAATATTATTTAATTCAATCAACCGGACTCATCCTCGTGCAGTTTCCTAACCCTATCAAGTGATTTTAAATTGAATTTATTTAAGTATTTTTATATAAATTTGATTCAAGTATAAATTAAACTATTTACCCCATATAGGAAATTTGGTATAACAAAAATCAGGGGTAGTACCAAAGTTGCTTGCACGACTTCTTTTCCATGGATGCACGACACATTTGAACCATCAAGATTTTATAGATTTCATCAACGTTCGCATGATGCGCGCAAGCTACTAATATTGCCCTTTTTATCCCAAAAATAGCAATATATATATATATATATATATATATATATATATATATATATATAAATTTATCCCAAAAATAAACATTTGCGGTACGTGTCAAAGATACAAATTTGCACAAGCCGAACAATAACAATGACACAATATTATCTTCAATCACTCAACGAGTGTCTGTTTAAAGTCTTGTATTAAACACTTGAAGAAGAAAAAATTATACCTAAACAATATGAGATTGAGAAATTCATGACCAAACATGTTGATTTTGAACCGTCAAAGTCAAATAGTAAACTTGATCCAACCAAGGTCTTAAACTCTGCAATTGTTACGTTCTGAAAAACTTGTGATCCCAATATAAAAAATTATTTGTGATTGTAGTAATGATATGAGCGTAATCAAGTTTAAAACATGTATTTGACAGCTTCAAATCAACAAGTTTGGTCATGGGCTTTCTAAGTCTCTCGTTGTCCTTTGAACAATTTCTATCATGAGGGATAGGGGTGAACATTTGATCGAGTTGAGTCGTGTCGAGTCAAAATCTTTTGATTTATTCGAGTTTACAAGTTATATTTTACAACTCGAACTTAATTTGAAATTTTTTGAATCAAGTGGAGTTTAAGAAGTTCGAGTTTCTCTACAAAATAAATTTTTTCCATTAAACAACGGGTCTCATTAAAAACCCTTATTATCCAGGTCATGCTGAAGCAAAACCAGACAACGGAAGGAGGAAAAAGAGTACCCAAAAATATATTAATAAATAAATCGAACAATTACATAGTATAATTTAGAAAATCCAACATCACAAGATGATCCCAAAAAAAGCAAAGCGATGATAATCTAAAAAGCCAATTACAATAAAATACTTCTTCAGTTCTCGAATTACATTTTTAAAAACCTTGGATTTCCTCTTCTTCGTGCACTGTCGGTAGCTTTGAAAAAGCTTTTTCTTTATCAATTGTTCTTGATAAATCTAAATTAAAAAAAATAAATATGTTAGTTATATTACAAATACATTTATAATATAAATAAATAAAAAATTAACATTACAAATCAAAATTAAATATTACCGCCTTCCATGTCTTGAAATTCTGGAACATACTCGTCAAGATTAATAGGATCCTTAGATCTTCGAAGCCAATCTTGAGTACAAATCAAAGATTCAACCATTGTCGGAGTCAATGAACTTCTAAAACCATCTAGAACACGTCCACTTGTGTTGAATGCACTTTCTGAAGCAACTGTTGAGATAGGAATCGAGAAAACATATCGAGCCATTTGCGCAAGAACAAGGTATCTTGAACTATTCACTTTCCACCACAATAATAAGTCAAATGAACTCAAGTTGTTTCCATCTTCCTCTGCCAAATATTTATCCAACTCAAATTTTTGTTCCAAACCAACTCGTTGCTTCTTTAACAAATATTGTTGCACGACCAAACTCGCCTTTGATTGATGTTTCATAGGCATGGAAACTTTTGTCAGAATACTTGACTGTCCTTCATGGCTCGTAGTTTTCCCGACAATGAAAGAGTATTCATCAAACAAACGATACAACTCTTTATCAATCATTTTCATAACCTCACTAGTAACATTGGGAAAAAGCAAGTATATCCCAAAATTTACAAAGCCCATTTTACGTCTCGGATCTAAGATAATGGCTAAGTAAACTATGAAATTGATATTCTTGACATCAGTTCAATATTTGTTGTACTTCTCTCTCATTTTTAAGCCATGTAGATTATTTCCAAGTCCTCACAATTCATCCATCCATCAAATAAACAATGCATGTCTATCAATGTTTCCTAAAAGAAATGAGAGGTGACATGCAATGACCCAGACAACTTCAATGTAAGATCATAAAAAGGCTCTAGAATTTTTGCAATTCTTCTAACATTTTCCTAATCATCAAATGTAAGGACTCCATCTCCAACTGTGAGGTCAAGAAAAAAAACTATTATCATCACGAGCATATGAATCAAATGCATGCTCGTATTTTCCATCCACCTACATCATCATATATGTTGAGTTCCACCTAGTAGGCACATTTAAACACAAATGAGCCTTAGTATCTATCATTTCTTCTTCTGCCCGATCATATAATTTTTTTCATCATTGATGGTGATGCTCTTATATACCTTACAACAGCCCTAACTCGATCAACAGACGCAAAAGCATACTTAACACATTCTTGCACGATGAGATTTATAACATGCGCATCATATCTCATATACATATATTTCCCACTTGCAACATAAGCATTTTGATGGTTCAATTTCTTTCTCAAATATTCAATACTAATACCACTAGCAGATGCATTATCAACTATAATAGTGAAGATTCTCTCAATCCCCCAATCTCGGATACATTTTTCAAGGGCTTGACCATGTTTTCACCTCTGTGAGTAGATATCGGACATAAGTTTATGATTCTCTTTTGCATCATGTTAGAACCATGTAAGATGCCCTTTGCAGTGAAGTCCAAGTATCAGTTGTCAAATAAATTCTACATGTATCTTTTTCAAAAAAAATCTTCATTGACCTCTTCATGGAGTTGAATAAATCGAGACAATCCCTTCTAATTGTAAAACGAGAAAGGATATGGAACCTTAGACATGTTAGAGAAAGAAATAACTTAAACCCTTCTCCCTTTAAAATTCAAAAAGGTAATCATCCACGATTATTGTAATATCCCAAATTTTGAAGTAACTAAAATGTAAGTTTTGAAAGTTTAGGGCTAAAGAATAAACTTGTAACAATTCAAGGATAAAATTGTAATTTTGAAAAGTTATGTATTTTAGCCAGTAAATGAATAATTTGGCCTAAAACAAGAATTTTCGTGGGAATCGGATTTTCGATACGAAATTTGTGTTAAAAAGCTATAAATCGATAAAGTTCGGTATAGGAATAAGATAATTGGATCGAGTTAGAATTTCATGAAATTTGAAGGATGCTAGAAAATGGTTGGAAATATTATTTCCATATTTTAGATCAGAGAATTTTAGCTCAGATCAATGTAATTTCTCAAATTTGGTCAAACCATGGAATTTTAGTTACTAAAATGAAATTTTAAAAAATTTCATGGCCAAAGTAAATGTCAAAGCTAAGTTGATTCATATTTGACCAAGGGGTATTTTAATGGAGAATATGGCAATTACATTTGGTAATTATCAAGGTTCATTAATGGTAAAAATGAAATTTCTTAAGAATTGAATTTTAAATTCAATTAAATTGGTTTAATTCCAAGTGTATTAATTATTAAATACTAGAATAAACAAGAATTTAGCATAATTTTCAACCATTCCCAAGCTTTAGGACGAAACTTCCTTGCTTTCTTAGGTAAGATCTTTGTTTTGAATTTTGAAGTTATATACTTGATTTTTTTGATTAAGCTATTATATAGAGAATTAATCTACATGAAATTCTCTATCATTTGGTATAAATACTTTATGGTGAAGATGATTATGTGTTGATATTGAAAGTTAGAGTTTATGTATGGTTTAGGAATTTTGAAAGATTGATGAAGGATTTTTATGTTTTTGATGTTAGTGATTACTCCTAAGGCATGTATGATGATTAAAATTAATTGTACATGCTTATATGATATTCTACCATGCTAGGGTTTTAGAGGTTGATTGGATTTTGATGTAATTTTATGTTATTATGATTAAAATAGCATGAATTTGATGTTAGGAAGTTGAATCCATGCTTGAAATTTAATGAAAATCATGCCTAAAGCTACTTAAAATGTTCAACCATTAGGAAAATTTAGGGGGGAAATGTTGTAATAATTCCTATGGTCTTGTATTGATATTAGAAGTGTT